CAAGGCTACAGCCAGCCCCTTCCAGGCTAGAGGCCAGAGAAAGGAAGAGAAGGACTGGACACACCTTGTCCCAGGCTTTTAACCCACTTCCAAAGGGGTGTGGTGAATTAACCTGATTGGCTGGTGGGCACCCAGGTGTGGCCAGGTAGGGCGTGAGGTCACACAAGGGCGTAGTGAAGGTATCAGGTAGGGCGTGAGGTCACACGGGGCGTGGCGAAGGCGTGGTCTTCCAGCTCATAAACCTAATCAATTGTAACCTATTTATTTATTATTATTATTTTTTTTTTTTTTTGACAGGCAGAGTGGACAGTGAGAGACAGAGACAGAGAGAAAGGTCTTCCTTTGCCGTTGGTTCACCCTCCAATGGCCGCCGCAGCCGGCGCGCTGCGGCCGGCACACCGCGCTGATCCGATGGCAGGAGCCAGGAGCCAGGTGCTTTTCCTGGTCTCCCATGGGGTGCAGGGCCCAAGCACCTGGGCCATCCTCCACTGCACTCCCTGGCCACAGCAGAGGGCTGGCCTGGAAGAGGGGCAACCGGGACAGAATCCGGCGCCCCGACCAGGACTAGAACCCGGTGTGCCGGCGCCGCTAGGCGGAGGATTAGCCTAGTGAGCCGCAGCGCCGGCCCATCAATTGTAACCTATATGCCTGCCTACTTCACTACTACCAGCACGAAGGAACGATGAACACGTACTACACTGCCCCAAGAACTCAAAGGTTCCCTCACAATGCTCTGAGAAGCTCCGGCAGACGACCCAGCCCACCTCCCCGGTGCAGAAGTCAAGTGTGCACTGCTACAGTATGTGCACGACCTGCTCCCGGCAAGCACAAGCCTGCAGGACTGAAACAGGAGCAGAAGCACTGCTGGATCGGCTCCAAAGGGCTGGATACCACGTCGCCCTCGAGACGGCCCAGATTTATCAAAAGGTCATGTGCTCAGGGTTTCAAAGGGACGTCAGGCCCTGGGACCTGAATGGGGGAGAAAAAAAAAAAAGCTATCTGGGACTTCCCAACTCTGAAAACCCAGAGACAGGTCCAGAGTTTCCAGAGGCAACAGGCTTCTGTCACATTTGGATACCCAACCGTTAGGTAGGAAGTTAGAAATCAGCTCATGTGGCCCGGCGCCGCGGCTCACTAGGCTAATTCTCCATCTGCGGTGCCGGCACACCAGGTTCTAGTCCCGGTCGGGGCGCCAGATTCTGTCCCGGTTGCCCCTCTTCCAGGCCAGCTCTCTGCTCTGGCCAGGGAGTGCAGTGGAGGATGGCCCAGGTGCTTGAGCCCTGCACCCCATGGGAGACCAGGAGAAGTACCTGGCTCCTCTCTGTCTCTCTCACTGTCCACTCTGCCTGTCAAAAAAAAAAAAACAAAAACAAAAAACAACAACAAAAAAAAAAAGATAGCATTCAGATGTGAGACCGCAGTGGTAAGCAAGGAGACACAGCTTAACTGGGGTCGGGATCCGTGAGAATGGATGGGACAGAATCTGAGAGAGGGCCCAGTCACTCAGACTGGAGAAGCAAGCTGACACGGTTTAATGGAGAGAATGCACGTGACAGGCCAGGCGGGCAGCTCAGGAGAGAGCGGAGAGCTGAGCGTGCACCCTATAGTCAGACTGGGGCTTAAAAGGGAAAGGGGTCCGGTTCTTCCCACTGTTCGTCCTTTCCTTCTCCCTTTTCCTCCTCCAGGACAAAGCATTTGCTGAGTAAATTAAGTGAAATCCCCCCAAGGCTTCACTACCGAGGGCTGTCAGACTCGGGGCCCACCTGGTGCCAGCCAGAGGAGCTGCCTTGGGGGTGGGGGAAGGTGCTGTGTTACCAGGCCAGGTGACCCATTTGGTGCTGAACAGAGAGGGTTCTCCAGGGAGCTCTTGAGGGGGAGGGGGAGGGCTGAGACCACCTGGAAAGTGCAAAATGCTGAGCTGCTTCCAATGAGCTTCTGCAGGTCTTGGTTTTCCTCAGGCCCCTCTCATACACATACGCTAATTTCTTTCTTTTTTTTTAAGATTTGTTTGTTTATTTGAAAGGCAGAGAGAGAGAGGGTTCTTCTCTCCCCAGATGTGCCAATCTGGAGTCAGGAGCCTCTTCCAGGCCAGGGACTTTGGCTGTCTTCTACTGCTTTGCCAGGCCATAGCAGAGACACATGAGCTGATTCTTTTTCTTTTCTTTTTTGTTTTATTTGTTATTTTTTTTTTTTTTTTTGACAGGCAGAGTGGACAGTGAGAGAGAGAGACAGAGAGAAAGGTCTTCCTTTGCGGTTGGTTCACCCTCCAATGGCTGCCGCGGCCGGCGCGCTGTGGCCAGCACACCGTGCTGATCCGAAGGCAGGAGCCAGGTGCTTCTCCTGGTCTCCCATGGGGTGCAGGGCCCAAGCACTTGGGCCATCCTCCACTGCACTCCCAGGCCATAGCAGAGAGCTGGCCTGGAAGAGGGGCAACCGGGACAGAATCCGGTGCCCTGACCGGGACTAGAACCCGGTGTGCCGGCGCCACAAGGCGGAGGATTAGCCTAGTGAGCCGCGGCGCCAGCTCACATCTGAATTCTTTCTTGTGCAAAGACAAGAACCAATCCTACTCCTCTTGGCTAACTAAAGGGACTTCCTGTTGAACGGTAAGCACCTGTCAGGGTGTGCAGTGCTAACAGAAACAAGAGTCAGGGGCCCTCGCAGTGGGCTAGTGAGCACCAGCAGCAGAGGTGTTAGCCTTAATCAGAGCCCTGGAAACTGAACAGGGACAAAAGGAAAACATCTACAGAACTGAAGACGACTTCTCACCACAGGGGAAAGACCACCAAAAACTGACTGAACTGCGGTCATTCGGCACCGGAAGCGGTCTGGGAGCCTGCAGCTGCTTGCTTTTGTCCACTGCCAAGGACATCAGAAAGGAAAAGACCCCATAACCAAGGGAAACCAGAGGGCAGACTCAGGCAAAACGGGCAGCCATGGCGAGAACTCCTCAGGTCTCTCCTGGCAAGATACCGGTTGTCTCGGCCTTGCCTGAACACCCGGAGTATGTCCCAGAGGAAGCAAACTGGCTAACAGAAAAAAGATGGGTGTCAGCAGTTCAGAGGAATGGTGGCTTCTTTCTGACAAATGCCTTCACGTCCCAGATCACCTGGCCTACCCCATGGTTTCTCAGCTTCATGAAAACACTCACACGGGAAAAGCAAAGTTAGAAGCTCTGGTAAGTTGGTATTATTTCGTAACCAAACTCTCCAGACTTTGCAGAAATATAACTCAGAGATGCCAAACAGGGGCCCTCCCAGCTGCCAGGAATACAAAGAACCAGACAAAGCCGGTTTGAAGACTTAGAGGTAGGCTTTGCTGAACTACTGCCCAGCAGAGGGTACGGATACCTGTTGGTTATGGCTCACACACACTCGGGTTGGGCAGGGGCATTCCCCACCAGAACCGAGAAAGCCAGAGAAGTTGCTAGGATTCTGCTGGCTGAGACTTCCCCCAGGTATGGGATACTGATCTCCATCGAGTCAGATAGTGGACCTGCCTTCGTGGCTGAGATCACACAAGAACTGGCAAAGGTCCTACCAATTAAACGGAACTTACTAGCCTCAGAGTTCAGGAAAAGTTGAGCGTATGAACAGGATCCTAGAACAAGCCCCAAGTAAGTTTTGTCAGGAGACTCAATTATCCTGGACTTCAGTACTGCTTGTCTCCTCTGAGCGAGATGCTCACCCCAAATAGGAATCAAGCTCTCACCCATGAGATTCTGTTTGTTGCCCCCACCCCCATTATAAAGGTTCCCAGAGATAAGAAAGAAATGAAAAATTTAGAAATCCATGCCCAGCTACAGCTCCTGGCCACTACTATAGCCCAGTTACACCAGTGGGTGTTAGACTTCAGTAACCAAGTACCCTGACGGGCCAGGAGACCTTGTATGAGTAGAAGACTGACACAGGGTACCCCAAAGGATCTCAAGGAAGGGGCTCTGCCCTGTGTTTCTAACCACTCCTACAGCCTTAAGGGCTGCAGGTATAGACGCCTGGATCCATCACTCTCGAGTAAAGGCTGCTGCTCCACCTGACTTCTGCCAAGTATCTGGTGCCAGAGATCCTGAAAACCCCTCAGGGCAACCTTGAGCCCACTGCCCTGCTTTGACCACAGGAGCCACTAGTAAATCTATACATAGCCGAAGCTTGAGCAATCTACAACCCTATTCCAGCTACAACCCTGGGAGCCAACTGGTCAACGAACGGAGGAAGCCTGCAAAGTTCACAGAGGGACATCCAAGAATCAGGTCATGATGCCACCCTATTCCGTTTGGACCAATGATAATATTGACCTTTCTGCTGTCCACAGGTCTGGCCAAGATGGCTCTCAAAAACTGGAGCCAGTCACAAAGGTTTGCTCTAGCCATGTTTTATATATGGGTAATCGGTCTGTCTGGAGGAATTTTTCTGTTTCTTATAACAGCCTGTGTTTTACCCAAAAAGGCTCCTAAATGCATTACCAACCAAGTGGGGACAAAGCCAGTAGGCGAGTTAGCAAAAGCCACAGCGAACCTTTGCTTTCCTCACTCCTCAGATGTACCTTGCCACCAATAACCAAACTTCCTTTACTAGTACCCAATCAAGTCCAAGTAATAACAGCCATCGGGGCCGGTGCTGTGGCGCAGCGGGTTGGGACCCTGGCCTGAAGCGTCAGCATCCCACATGGGCACTGGTTCTGGTCCCGGCTGCTCCTCTACCTATCCAGCTCTCTGCTATGGCCTGGGAAGGCAGTGGAAGATGGCCCAAGTCCTTGGGCCCCTGCACCCACATGGGTGACCCAGAGAGGCTCCTGGCTCTGGATCAGCGCAGCTCCAGCCATTGCGGCCATCTGGGGAGTGATCCAGTGGATGGAAGACCTCTCTTTGTCTCTGCCTATCTCTAACTTTTTCAAATGAATAGATCTTTAAAAAAAAAAAAAAAGTGTAAGTAACAAAATGTGATTAACATTAAAAAAAAAAAAAAAGCCATCCGCTTCATTCCCTAATAGTTGGCCTGAGAATAACAACTGGAGTGAGTACCAGAGTGAGAACTGCTTCATCAGCCACCTTCTGCAGCAAATTATCTGCAGCTAAGTCATCAGTGGCTCTCCAAAATCATGGAGACTCAGTAGCAGCCACGGTCCTGCAGAACAGGAGGGGACTTGACCAACTAACTTCAGAAAGGGGGCGTCTGCCTTTTCCTAAATGAAGGCTGCCATTTCCGATGGAACCAAGACATAAGCTTCAGCCATTCTCACTCACTTCCCAAAGACAGAGAACATTGGAATTTATGCCTAGTCCCTGCATCTCAATTGGGTCTCACACCCTATTGTGGTTACACACCACCCCACATTCTTCCCCATATTTGAAGGCTCTTGGGCACTTAAAGACCAGTATGGAGGAATTCACTTCTGCCTGCCACCCCTTATCCCCACCCCCACGCTCCTAGGATACAAGAAGGCCCGCCCCTGGGGTTGGGGCCTCTCGCCATGTGTTCCATCAATGTGCACACTGACCGCCAGCCACCTGTGCAGATTTAGTTTCTCTGAATAAATTTGGTCTGGCTGTAAATTTGTACCCTGCCTCCTCTCACTGTGCCCCATGTGAGGAGGGGAGCAAAGGTTCCAGCTTTTGGATGAGAGCTGCGACTTCCTTTCCCCTTCTTCCGCACTCTCTCGCCTTCAACTCTCCTCTGTGGCACTGGATCTTCATTTCCTTTCAAGGAGAGACCAGGGATGTACGTAATGGGGAACAACCTGGTGGGTGACCGAGAACCTCTGACCAGGGCTCAAACTTCCCCAGGCAAAAACTGCACCCCAAAAGCTGGACGGAGTGTCCTCAAGTCTATCTCTCTACTTTGATTTCTGACCTGGCTTCTCCTCGGGGTGAGGGAGGGTACAACCTCCAGGAATCCCCTGGCTGTCCTTGGAGTGACCCAGACGGGCCTGGAATACACTCCTCCAAAAACAACCCTGGGAGTTGAGAACAGCCTAAGTCACTTTTGGTAGCTTTGGGATCCGCATGGAGGAAAGGCCTACACTTCCGGGAATGGGGAGGCCTACTTCCGGGGAAGAAAGTCCTTGTCAAGGTCCCTGCGGGTGCCTAAAGGTCAACCAATGAGGATCAGACCTTTAACCTCAACCTTTAACCCCCATGCCCTGAATCTATAAAAGGAGCTTTCCCAATCTCTGATGCGCGACTTCTCCGCCCCCGCTCTGTTGCTCTGTTGGGACCAGTGAACCTCGCCCGGGAGCGGAACCCCAATAAAAGCCTGTGAATTAATCCATTCGTCTGCCTGGGAAGATCTGTTACGCGCCGGGACACCTTACAACTTTCTCATCTTCCTGATGAGAGCCCTTTGCTGCATCTCATCACTGCATACAACATCAGATCTCATTCTCGGCCCACTGGATCGATTGCTAAGAGAAGCCTCTGTTGCCTCAAGGGCACTGGGGTGACGCTCGTGACTGGTTCATCCCCCTGGCCTGTGTGGTCAAACACTCATCTGCCATAGCTTAGAACTGTGACATTGGTCTAGGCATGGGGATTCTCGTCCTCGCCTCTTAGAGGACTTAGAACCTGGGTTCTCGGTTGGGGTGGTTCTTTCCCAGGGGCACCCTGGGAAGGGACCTCTTCCCTCAGGCCATATTTTACCCAACCCACTAGTTCCGAAATACCTCACATTTCACCCACCTCCCCTCTGGCGTGCCTCTTCAAAAGCTTGCACAAGCTGGGCCTAAATGAAGAAATAAAGCAGAAGCGATTAATTAACGTCTGTTCTAAAATTTGGCCTCAATAGAAATCAGACAATGGCTCAAAATGGCCAGAATTCAGTACCTTTGATCTCTAAATCCTCTGCGACCTTCAGAGTTTTACACGGAGAAATGGCAGATGGTCAGAGATCTATGTCCATGCTTTCTGCCTCCCTCAGGGTCAGTTCTCCTCACTCCAAACTCTCAGGGAGGAAGAGGGCCTGCAGCCTCCCCACCCCTCCTTTTTCTCCCTCCACCCAGAACGCAGCGGCTCAGGAACACCACCCTTTGCTCTCTAGCCCCTCCCCTTCCACCCCACCGGTGGCAGCACGGGCAGTTGCCGCCCCGCCCCACTCTTATCCCTGCAAGACTCTTTACCCAGTTCTCCCCAGGGAAGGAAATTTTTCCACCCCACCACTCCCTCCCTCATCTCGTCCCCTCTGTGACCCTGACCCTGCAGATGACCCTCTGCCCTACCCCGACACACCCCAGTCCCAGGGAATTCCAAAGCCTCAGCCTCAGGAATCCTCTCAGATGGAGGCACCTAATCCCTCATCCGGATCCCACCCCGCCTCCTCCCGCTACCCTATCCCCTCCTCACATGAACCCCCAAACTGTACAACCCAAATCCTTCCTCCCCTTGAGGGAGGTGGCTGGGTGGAAGCTCTTGTTAGGGTCTATGTGTCCTCTATCAGACCTTATTCAGATTGAGGAACGTTTAAGTTCATTCTCCAAGAATACTTTCAAATATCATCAGGGATTTCTCCATCCGACTCAGTCCTGTGGTTTAACTTAGAATGATCTCTATTTAGTTCTATCCTGTACCCTAACTCTAGGTGGATCTGAAGGAGTCTCTCATGCTGCCAACCAGCATGCAGGTAATATGCACCATCAGGCCTCAAGCCATCTCCAAAACCAACCCTAACCCAAATCAGACTTACCAACCCAGGGATCCGGGGCTATAGACCCGAGACCACATGATCCCATGCCTGCAGGCGGCTATGGCCAAGAACAGCCATAAACACATTAATTACGGGACAATCCAAGAGGTCACCCAGGAACCCAAAGAAAACCCTGCTCTATTTATGTCACGCCTTACAGAGGAAGTGACAAAGTATACTAACACCAATCCCAATTCCCCAGATAGAATTTTTCTTTTTCTTTTCTTTGACAGATACAGTTATAGACAGTGAGAGAGACAGAGAGAAAGGTCTCCCTTCCATCAGTTCACTCCCCAAATGGCCGCTAAGGCCAGAGCTGCACCGATCCGAAGCCAGGAGCCAGGTGCTTCCTCCTGGTCTCCCATGCGGGTGCAGGGGCTTCCACTGCCTTTCTGGGCCACAGCAGAGAGCTGGACTGGAAGAGGAGCAACTGGGACTAGAACCGGCACCCAAATGGGATGCCAGCGCCACAGGCGGAGGATTAACCAAGTGAGCCACGGCGCCGGTCCCCCCAGATAGAATTTCAAATTCCTACTTTATGTCCCAGTCAGCTCCAGATATCCATCACAAACTCCAAAAATTACAAGATGGTCCTCAGTCCTCCCAGAGGGACCTCATAGATGAGGCTTTTCATGTTTTTAGCGATAGAGAAATAGAGGAATTACGGACTCAGAAGGAGATAGTTTCAGATGCTGACCTCCTTAATCCACAGAGACCCCAATTGCAAGCCAGGCCCACCCTCCGGGGCCCTGTTATCGATGCGGCAATGCTGGGCACTAGGCTAAGGCCTACTCAACTCAAAGTTCACCTCAGCTCAAGGCTCTAGCCCTCCTGGAGCCTGTACTACATGTGGCAATACTGAACACTGGGCCAGCAGCTTCCCTAACCTGAGGCCTCCCCCTATCTCGTGCCCCAAGTGCGGACAATGGGGTCACTGGAAGATGGACTGCCCCCAGGGAGGGAAGCCCCCCTTTCTGGAACAGCCTTCTGCTCAAACCCCTCTGGCACAGGACATCTCATCTCATTAAACTTAACAGAATGAGATGGCCTGGGTTCCACAGCCCCAGACACAGATGAGTCCAGGGACCCAAGGGTAATAGGGACAGCGTCTGGCAAGCGAGGTTCTTTCTTGGTGGACACCGGGGCTAGTTTCCCTGCTTTAAATCAATATTGCAGCCCACTCCTTTCGTCCTCAGTCTCTCCTGTTGGCATGAAAGGCCTTAATGACACGCCTAATAGGACTCCTGCCTTCTATTGCTCCTTCAGAGATACTACTCTTCCGAATTCCTTTCTCATCCTTCCTAGATGCCCCAGTGTCGCTCCCCCATTCACAGAGGAACGACACAGGACCCTGAGCTGTTCCTTTGTCTGCTCGGCCCTTCCCGGGTTTGCTGCTGATCCTTCCCGGGTTGGCTGCCGACCCCTCCACCTCCGTGGAAGGGCGGTTCCCCCTGCCACTTTCCCCGCTTCCGCGCGGAGGAGCAGCACACTGCCGGCCGGCTCTCTCGGGGGCTGCTCAGGTGTTCCTTCAGATGTTCCTGGTGCATGTTGTCTCTCTCCTCCTTTATAGTCCTCTTCCACCAATCCCAACTCTGCTACCCACACGCCGAGCATGCTGCTCTCCTCCAATCAGGAGCAGGATCAGCTCCTGCAGCTCATCAGTCAAATTGGCGAGAGGCAGCTGCATAGAAGTTTACTCCTCCCCAGCGCCATATTGTGGGAGAGCAGATGCATAGAATAAGTCTTAATTCCAGTAACTTAGTCTAGTCTCAGTTGCTCCCCACACCCCAGCCTCCTTTTAGGCAGGGACTTTCTCCACCACCTGGGGGCATCTATCTCCATCCCCACCCGGGATCAAGCACAAACCTTTATACTTCACATTACGGACCTTCCTGTCCCCACTTCCCTACCCCAGGCTCCCTCTCTTCCCTTGGTTAATCCTGTAGCATGGAATACGTCCCACCCGGTAATTGCCACCCACCATATCCCCCATTCACATCTAAAAGACCCTACAAGAATTATTGATGTTCCCCAATATCCTTTAAGCCCAGAAGGCCACAGACGTCTAAAACCTATTACAGACCATTACCTCCAATCTAATACACTCACTCCCGCTCACTCCCCCATAACACACCTATTCTTCTGGTCAAAAAACCAGATGGCTCTTACCGCTTAGGACAAGGCCTCTGACATATTAATGCTGCTGTCCAGCCCACATACCCAGTTGTGCCAAACCCCTACACTCTCCTTTCCCATATTCCCCCTACAACTTCTTTCTTTTCCATCCTGGACTTAAAGGATGGTTTCTTCACGATCCCTCTACACACATCTTCCTACTCTTTGCCTTTACCTGGTCTGACCTGGATACTTGGCTTGCTCGAAAGCTCACCTGGACAGTGTTACCCCAAGGTTTCCGGGACAGTGGATACATTTTTGGACAGGCTCTCCAGGCAGATCCAGCCTCTATTAACCTTTCACCCAGTAGCCTGCTTCAGTATTTTGATGATCTTCTACTCTGTAGCCCCTCACTAGTCTTTTGAACTTTCTAGCTGTAAAAGGTTATAGGATATCCCAAAGGAAGGCTCAGCTAATTCCATCTTTTTTTTTACACAGGCAGAGTGGACAGTGAGAGAGAGAGAGAGAGAGAGAGAAAGGTCTTCCTTTGCCGTTGGTTCACCCTCCAATGGCCACCGCGGCAGGCGTGCTGCGCTGATCTGAAGCCAGGGTCCAGGTGCTTCTCCTGGTCTCCCATGTGGGTGCAGGGCCCAAGCACTTGGGCCATCCTCCACTGCATTCCTGGGCCACAGCAGAGAGCTGGCCTGGAAGAGGGGCAACCAGGACAGAATCTGGCGCCCCGATCAGGACTAGAACCTGGTGTGCCGGCACCGCAGGCGGAGGATTAGCCTAATTCCCACTTCTGTCACCATCTTGGGACTTGTCGTGATGCCAGACACTCGCACAATTCCTCCAGCCGGAAAACAGGCAATACACCATCTTCCATTCCTGGGAACTAAGTGTGACCTCCTCTCTTTCCTGGGACTCGTGGGATACTTTCACATCTGGATTTCAAACTTTTCTCTTATTGTTAAATCTATGAAGCTACCAAGGGTGATTTAGACAAGCCCTTGCAAGAGATGTCCCCTCTAGAGACCCCATTCCAAGCCCTAAAGAAAACTCTTCTGCAAGCATGCATCCTGGGCCTTCCGAACCCAGTTAAACCATTGCTCCTCTATATCCATAGCTCTAAGGGGCAAGCACTCAATCCCTGGCCCAAGAGGCTAGAGACTATTATTCCTGTGGCTTCTCTCTCCAAAAATTAGATGGGGTTTATTAAGGCTGGCCCAGTGCCTAGAAGTCCTGGCCACTCCAGGCCTTCTCATACCTGAAGCCCAAAAGCTGACCCTTTACCAACCCTTACAAATCTGGTCCTCACATGGGTTTCAAGACCACCTCAGCCGCTGGGCTTTTCAATCTATAGCACCATATCGCATCCCAGTTCTCCACTCCCCCCTTCTCCAGCCCACTGTTAGTTTTCATCACTGCTTTTCTCTCAGCCTAGCTACTCTCCACCCTGCTACCCTCTCTGATCCCCTTGAACCCCATTCCTGTCCTTTCTTGATTCTTCCCTGACTACATTTCACCACCTCACAGACACTCCTCATCTTAAAGCCCTGGATTGGTTCATTGACGGCAGGGCATCTAAAATTCCCCCTTTCCCTATTGAATGTGCAATAATTGAGGGGTACCATGATGATGCCTCTTCTGGTGCCCCCCTTAGGGTAATAGATGCTAGGCCCCTACCTCGAGGCACTACCTCTCAACAGGCTGAGTTGTTGGCCTTGATTCAAGCTTTCACCTTAGCCCAAGGAAAGGCAGTCAATATACACAGAGATTCCTAATATGCCTGTAATATGCCCAGATATGGCAAGAAAGGGGCTTTCTGACGGCCCGAGGAACCCCTTTAACAAGTGGCAGGCTAATTAGAGTTCTTGATGCTGCCCAGCTGTCAACAAAAGCTGCTATTATTCACTTCAAAGGCCACC